AGTGGCTCTTCCCCTCTTCCCGCCGCCTATACTTCCTTGGAAATTTCTTATATCAAACGATCAACTCCCAGCACCCTTCCTATATCTACTGTCTCCTCAAGCCGAAACCTTTAGTCCACTCAATAAAAACGAGATCCCGTGATTCTGACCTCTATATTCCATCACACAAGACAAAAACCTATGAACGTTCCTTCTTAGCCCGCTCCGTCACCTATTGGAATTCTTTGCCATATAACATCCGTCATGCCTCTTCACTGTCAACCTTCAAATACCTCCTTTTCCAATATCTCCTCACATCCCAAACAGACGATTTCATTTTATGAACTGAATTTGTGAGAAGTAACTGGTGGTGCTTACAGTTTAAGTCTTAACATAAGCAATGATTTTTTACTATTTATTTGTATTTCTCTTAACCTCAGGTTGTGCTTTTTCTTTCATGTATATATAAGTTTATATTTTATACTTTTTGTCTCACTGTGTAGCAATATGAGTAAGTACGTATATATAGTTCCTTTTTTTACCTTTATACCACAATTATTACTGAGATTTTATTTTATCTTAGTGTTTGCTTATTATTTTATGAATCACTGTAAATATTATTACATTTTGTATTAAATTATGTTTCTATTAGATAGCTATTATTGTGTAGTTATGTATATATACATATGAAATTTCTTTTCTGTCCTTTTTTTTTCTTTTTTTTTTTATATCGTAATAATAAGTAAATTTGGAGAAGATTGTATGTTCATTTATGTATGTATGTATGTGTATGTATATATATGTGCGTGTGTTTATATATGTGTATATTTTTTTTTTTTTTTTATTTCTCAGTGGTTACATACTACTTTTTAAATAATGTATATTACGTTAGAATTTTTTTAAGTTAGTTTTTGGCCAGATTGGTATTTTATTTTGTATTAATTCATCTTTGTTATTCTAAGGGGACTTAGTCCCAGAATAAAGTTCTATTTTCTAATCTATTCTATTCTATATACACTGACAGACAAAAAATTACACCCACTTGATTTTTTCATGTTTTCATCTAAAAATATTTCTGCTTTGGATTGGTCTATTGTTTTTAATGAATAAATAGGTAATCTTTTTGTTTGTTTCCAATTAGGAATGTTAATATAGAGGACAATAACCCTTAATCCTTAATTCAATGAAATGATTCTAGATTCCAATGTTTATTTTCTATGGAATCAAAATGTTTATTCAGTATCATTAGTTCAGTGCAGTTTCTTGCAGCATATTTCTTAGTGTCCAAATTTTAATTTTTTTAATATTAAGTTTAAAAATGCCTTGAAAAATCCTCTTAGTGCTGAGGATGTTGCGCGTGGTGTGGCACTTATTGATGATGGACGTTCCATTAGAGATGCAGCTAATGCCATCGGAGTTCCATATGAAACTTTATGAGACGCCGTCAGGAAACTGGTTCTTACAATAGAAGGCCCGGTTCTGGACGGCCTAGGGTAACAGAACCACGGGATGACCGGTTTTTGACTTTGAGAATTTTACGAAACCGGCACCTTACCGTTGTTCAAGCGATTCATCAGAAGATTAAATGAGTATGGATTAACGGCTTTTCGTCCAGTATGAGGACCAGAGTTGGGCAGAACTCACAGAGTAACACGGCTGGCTTTTTCTTGAGAATACAGCCATTGGACTATAAACGAATGGAGTGCTTTACTTATTACAGATGAATCAAGATTCGCTCTTCGATCTCCAGACGGGCGTGAAAGAGTGTGGAGAAGAAGAAACGAACGATATACAGCCTGTAATTTTTCCCACAGCCAACCTTTCCAACGTGGTTCCTTAATGGTGTGGGTTGGGATTTCAATGGAGCGCCGCACAGAATTGGTTGTTGTTCGTGGAGAGTAGGGATGTGACGTTCCATGGAAAATCTGTCACTGTTCCAACTGTTCCAGTGACACCATTGGAACAGTGACAAATTACCGGTCCAGTGACAGTGACAGTGACAAAAGTCTTCATAGCCATTCCCTTACTTAATTTATGAAAATATCGTTATGTTATGTGTTATATTTATTAATCAACAGACTTCCTGCCTATTAATTAATCAATATGTATTAGGTTTATCATCCATTGTTGAAATGATCCACAAACCCAAAAAATCACCAGAATGCCCATCCTCTTACCGTTCTATCTCTCTTTTACCCATCATGGGCAAAATCCTAGAATAACTCATCTTAAAACGCCTGTACCCTATCCTAAATTCTAAATACATAATCCCAGATCACCAATTTGGATTCCGCACTTCCCATTCCACTATACAGCAATGTCATCGTGTGGTGGACGTGGTCTACATTGGAGTGCGGATTGTACTGCACGAGAGTCTTTCTCGACGTTGAACAAGCGTCTGGCACCCGGGACTGTTGTACAAAATCCGTAAATTCCTACCACCTACATATTTCCTCATTATCCGCAACTACTTTACTGATAGATGATTTAGAGTAAATCACAAAAACTCTTGTTCATCCGTTTTTTCCCAGTCTGCTGGTATTCCTCTAGGTAGTATCCTTGGTCCAATCCTTTACACAGTTTATACAGCTGACATCCCATCCCATCCTGAAACTGTCATCACCACATATTCTGATGACACATGTATGCTATCTGTTAACAATGATCCATCAACTGCATCCATCAACTCTCCTATCTCATATCCCAAACCTTGAAGAACGGTGTAAAAACTGGAGAATTAAAATCGATTCCAATAAATCCCTTCAAATTACCTTTACAGTGCGTCGCAAACCCACGGCCTCCTGTCCTACAGTATGCTTTAATAATTCCTCACTTATCCCAGTTGAGCAAATCCGTTACCTAGGACTCCACCTGGACAAACGACTCACATGAAAACCTCATACAAGACTGAAACGACAAGAAATCGCTCGACGTTTCCGACTACTCCAACACTTCCTAGACAAACGCTCTAAGCTTTCAATCAATTACAAACGACTCATATATATGACAATAATAAGACCTATTTGGACTTACGGAGTTGAGCTATGGAGCTCCACTAAACCATCGAATTCCTCTCGTATCCAATCATTACAATCCAAAATCCTTCGTAAAATCCTTAATTCTCCCTACTTTGTTACAAATAAAACCATGCATAATGACCTTAATGTTTCATTTGTTTCAGATCTGGTCCAATCCAGATACCTACTCTCCCATAATAAACTTCAGAATCATCCCAACCCTCTCGTTTCTAACCTTGCTTCATCTTCAATTCCTGATAACCCTCCGAGCCCTCTGAAAAGAAGATGGCTCCTAATGTAAACATATCATTAGAGTGCTACCATTGGGTGGTTACTCAGCAAGTGTTTTCATGTCATTATATCCATTATGTTCAAATTTACTAGATGTATTTATTTAATACAGTTGTAAATGTCATTAAAAATAAAAAAAAATTGATTAGTTATATAAATTACACATTAACATTCTTTTGGAAAAAACGCCTCTGTAATAATTATGGAACCATTAATATTATTATACGAAATATGACGACATATATTTGTATAATTTCTCTGATGAAAATATTTTTGTCTCAAGATATCCGACTTTTTATTGTACATTCCTTTTTTATAGATTTTCGAAAGTAAAATTGGTAAATAACAATGAGTCATGTTACATTTTTAAAATTGTAATTCCAGACAAATTTTGGATTTGATTATTTGGCCACATACTTTAGGAATACTCACGAATTGTAGGACTTGGTGTTATTGGGGTCATTCTTATATTATTTAAGCATTTCTGGTTTTACTGGTACTGGTACTGATACAGAAGTGGGCCATATGATCCTTTTTGCTAACCTCTAACAGCTGCTACCTTGATGTTGCCGCCGCGCACTTATCAGAGCGGGAATGTACAGATTCATTTCCCGGGGCCGCCGATATCTAAAAATTAACCGTCCCAGTTGGGAATCGAACCCACAACGTTCAGGACAGGACATTCTGGGACCCACGCCCCAACGTGCTCGGCCATCCCTTCATCTCTACTGGATCTAGCGATTCGGGTTAAAAAAAACATCAACTTTCTGTGTAAAGATGTCCTAGATAATAAAGTTGAATAAAATATGAAATAAATTAAATAATAGAAGTATTTGAGTAATTTTTCATAAAATAGATGTATAAAGTTACAGAGTTTAATTTAAAGTTATAAATGTTCATGCATGTCTCACTTATATTACATTAAATTGGGAAATGGTGAAGATTTATTGATAGGAAATGTTCAAGTTGATAGTAATATATATATACTGACAGACAAAAAATTCCACCCATTTGATTTTTACATGTTTTCATCTAAAAATATTTCATCCACTTGTAAAAAAAGTTGTATTTGTATATAATACATGGTATTTGTAGATATTACTTAGTATTTATGGAATTTTATAATCTTTTTTACCTTTAATAATCAAAATGTGATTGGTTAAGAAAGATTCGAGAAAAAAAAAATTGAAAAACGAACCATTATTATTCTAAAAGAAATTAATTACATCATAGTTTAGTAGCGTGTGTTTCCTTCTCTTGCCTTCACTACTTCTTGAAGACGCCTCGGCATACTTTCCACAAGTCGGGAAACGTCCCTTTGCTGGAGGATAGCCCATTCCTCCCGAAGAGCCCTTTCAAGGTCCTCCAGTGTTTCAGGAAGTGTTGCACGCGCTCTTACTCGTCTTCCGAGGTTATCCCATAAATACTCAATGGGGTTCAAATCTGGAGAACGTGCTGGTCAGGCTAAAACCTCAATATTGTTCTGTTGAAGGAACGTCTGCACTATGCGGGCGACATGTGGGCGTGCATTATCGTGCATTAGAATAGTACGACCGCCAATTTCGTTGAGGATAGGTAACACATGAGATTCCAAAATCTCATCTACATAGCGAATGACCGTCAAAGACCCTCCACTAGGGATGTGACGGTACTGGTGGAGCAGTGATGTGTAACAGAGTCTCGGTTTGGAACAGTGACAACCTGTTCCAATCCATGGGACCTTACCGGTCCAGTGACAGTGACAGTGACAAAAGTCTTCTTAGCCATTCCCTTACTTAATTTATGAATATATTAATATGTTATGTGTTATATTTATTAATCAACAGACTTCTTGCGTATTTGCATGCATTTAATTAAAGTGACTTTATATCGAAAAGTAAAGTCGAAATTCACAAAAAGTATATTTGAAAATTAACCTACATCAAAAATACACGTAGTATATTTAATAAACGCCGATATATATATATAAGTATACATACATCATTTTTTGTGAATATTAAAACAACAATATAATTTGTTCAGTTGAATCTCGATATACAAAGAAAATACATATTATTAACAGTCGAGAAAATAGTAAATACTACAGTATTTACTATAGTAAATAGAAAAAAATATTTTTAATTTTAATTCAAATTTTATTTGTTTGATTATTATTTATTCATTTTCGTAATCGTATTCATTCCATTCAAATATTTTTTAAAACAATTTGATACTTGGCAATAGAGAACCTCTTTTACTCTTGCCGGTGCGACTCAGAAACACTGGCTGTTCCGTACCTGTGCCTGTCACAGCTGGGCCTTATGCTCCACCGTTCCGCTGTCACAGTTGGGCCTTATCGGTACTCCACTGCTCCACCGTTCCGCTGTCACTATTGGGCCTTATCGGTACTCCACTGCTCCACCGTTCCGCCGTCACTGTTGGGCCTTATCTGGTACTCCACTGCTCCACCGTTCCGCTGTCACTGTTAGGCCTTATCGGTACTCCACTGATCCACCGTTCCTCTGTCACTGTTGGACCTTATCGGTACTCCATTGCTCCACTGTTCCGCTGTCACTGTTGGGCCTTATCGGTACTCCACTGCTCCACCGTTCCGCTGTCACTGTTGGGCCTTATCGGTACTGCACTGCTCCACTGTTCCGTTGTCACTGTTGGGCCTTATCGGTACTCCACTGCTCCACCGTTCCGCTGTCACAGTTGGGCCTTTCCAGTACTCTAGTACTGGCACAGAGCGGAGTAGTTTGACGTAAAAATAAAATAAAATTAGATGTCTTGAATTCATAAATTGATGAATTTATTAATTCATTTATAATTGGTAAACATAATTAAATATAAACCCGAAAATACATAAATTAGTAGATTTATATTTCAATAAGAAAATAATATATAACACAAATGTAATGTACAATAGTAGGTAATGTACAAATTAAAAAAGTAAATTGAAGTAAGAACAATTACTAAAAAACTGATACCATATATAAAGTTAGAAAATACACGTACAACACTAATTCAAAAATATGATTTTTTTAAAAATAAAAATTAATTAAATTTTAAGGGTATATATTATTCAATCTAATTAAAACAGATAACAAATATAACAATATTTCCTGAATTAATACAAATAATATCATACAGAACCTGAATAATGTTAACAATAAAAAAGAGAAAAATACTATAAATAAAAATACTACCCATACACACACACACACACACACACCTGTATACATATACATATACACACATATATACATATATACATATATATATAAGTTAAGCGTCGTCGGACTTGAAAAATTAAAAAAAAAAGAAGGAAAAGGGGTAGAGATGCAACACACACGGCTTCTGAATAAACACTGCTTTATTCGTTCCATAAGCCTCCTTATATACAGTTAGCATGTTTATTTACATTGCCAGATGGTATTAAGGCTGATATCGTCAGTCTCCGGTCTTTATCTCCCCCCCACCAGTTTACGAACAGGATTTTCGGAAACTTAAATATTCCTAGATCGGAGCCAACGGTGACCAGCCTTAACACTTTACAATTGTTCTTACAGTATACCCTTAAAAGATAATAAAACACTTCCACTCAACTGGAAAAATAATAAAAAAATAATTAAAAACACCGAAACTAAACACAACACTTGAGAACTCTTAATAACCTACACACAAAACAAAAAAAATACAATTTCCTCTACAGTATCGCTAATAATTCTATTTACATGAAATAATAAAAAAAAATAACACAAATTGTTTTGCTTTGACAGGCACAAAAAAAACATATTTTTCTTTCTTATATACCGCGGTGAGGGTACTACGAATCCGTAGGTCTATGGTCCGGCTCTATCATTGGGAGCTTTAATTGTTCGATATGAACAGTTCTCCTCTTTCTGGGCTCATTAACGCTTTCAATAGTTAACAGGTTATGCTCCCTAATAGCAACCACTCTGAATGGACCCTCGTACCGTAGCAATTGTTTCCCTCTGTTGGTTCCCAATCTCCGGTAAACTATTGTTCCGATTTTCAGTTCCCCCATTTGGTCGCGTACCTGCACATTCTGCCTCTCCACCCGCTTCTTCTTTTCCCGCTTAATTCTCGCCGTTATCTTTCCCCATGTTTTCTCTACCTCTACCCTATTGCTGAGAATTTGATCCACTAACGGTTCGGTAAGCGTAGTTTCCCCATAATCCCGCCTTGGCCTGCGCATCCCGAATAGAACTTCTATGGGTGAAAATACCGTTACGGAGTGGATCGAGTGGTTATAGGCTGTTACAGCCTTCCTCATTGCCACATCCGGCTCCAGCCCTTTTTCCCCCTGATATACACGGATGTGGTCGCTTAGTGTGCTGTGCAACCGTTCGATACCGCCTCTACCTTTAGGATGTCCTGGGGTGTTATAATGCCACGCAATTTCCAATCGCTTCACCTCCTCCCTAATCGCGGCATAGTCGAACTCCCTACCACCGTCCGATGTAATCCTCTCGGGGACCCCAAAGAACTGCACCCAGGTTTGTAGGGCTTCCGCAACTGCATTGGCTGACTTATCCATCACTTGATGTGCCATCGCCACTTTGCTGAATATGTCGATTACCGTGACCCACTTAAACCCTTTCCAGGTGAATGTGTCAATCTGGAGGTCCTGTAGCGGCATATTCCCTGTAGGTGTCTCCTCCTGAACTCCTCTGGGGGGGGAGGTGTCGATCGTATTTTGTGCGCATGCATATCTCGCATTTCCCAATAACTTCCTGGATGGACCTCTTTATGCACCACCAGAAATACTTCCGACGTAATGCCTGCAGCGTCTCGTTCACGCCTCGGTGATTGGTTTTCCCCTGGTGATATGCCAATGTGATTGCTTGCTGCTGCTCTTCGTCTTGCACCGTCTCTACAGCATACTTGCACCGGACGAATGTCCTGTCCACACTTATTCGCTCGGACCTCCACATTCGCTTTATCTTATCCTATATCGTATTGTTTCCCACGTATAGATAGTGCGTTTTACCCGCTTCCGAGACGTCCCTCAGTGCCGTACAGATTTGTTCTTCGCTTACCCCGGGTTGCGACCAAATGTCGCGGATCCTACTTCTCCCATACCTTCTGAAATCGATTTTCATGATTCCGGCTGTTCGTGTCTTCCAAATCACCTGACGGTGTTTGTCGTTCACGATCTCATCTATTTCTTCCATCTCTGCTGCCCTTTCCTCCGCTGAGCTCTCCTCTTCTGGGGACTCTCCCCTGTCCTCTATACCTGCGGTATCATTTGCCCCTTCGCCATCTGGAGTCCATTCACTCAAGAATTGACGCACGTCCCGCGATGGTCCTCCCCTGTCCTCTTCAACCGCGTTGATCATGATGGCCCTAGAGAGCCAGTCTGCCACCACGTTTTCCTTTCCCGGCTTATACACCACCTCTATGTTGTATTGGCTAAGGATCTCCTTCCATCTCGTGACCCTAGCTGAGGTTTCCTTGAGTTTTCCTACCCAATGAAGGGGTTTGTGGTGGGTATGGACTCGAAACTTTCTCCCGAATACGTATGGCCTGAAATGGTCAATAGCCCACACTATCGCGAGTAGCTCCCTCTCCAAAGCGCTGTACCTTGATTCCGCACCCGTAAGCCGACGGCTCGCGTATGCTTTCGGACGTTCCCCCTCACTACTTCCCTGAGACAAAACGGCCCCCAACGCATATTCGCTCGCGTCAGTGGTTATGTTGAACATCTTTTCAAAATCCGGGAACGCCAATACAGGCTCTGCCTGCAACCTACTCATGCATTTCCGGATATTGTTCTCCATTTCCGGTGTCACCGCGATCTTCGCACCTTTCTTGAGCAAATTGTTGATAGGGACCAAATACTCTGCCATCTCCGGCACGAATCTCCGGTAATAGTTAAGCGTCCCGAGAAGCCTCCGGATCCCTTTTACGTCCCGTGGTACCGCCATCCGTGTGATTGCCTCCACCTTTGCTGCATCCGGTCCAACCCCCTCGCTAGAGATAGTGTGGCCTAAAAAATTAATTCGCGTTTGTCCCAGCAGGGACTTCTCGCTCGACAATTTCAGCCCGAATTGCCGCAGCCTTTCGAAAACTGATCTCAGATGCCCCACGTGTTTGGCTTCCGTTTTGCTGAAGATGAGCAGGTCGTCCATGTACACTTGGCATACCGCGTCATCGATACCCCTCAAAAACTCGTCCATCAGACGTTGAAACGTTATGGGCGCGTTCTTCAGACCAAACGGCATTCTGGTGAACTCATAATGCCCCCTTTCAAACGTAAACGCCGTCTTATGTTGATCTTCTGGGTGCATTCGTATTTGATGATATCCCGCTTTGAGGTCCAATGTGCTAAATACTACTGCCCCACTTAACCTATCGAGTATATCTTCGAATCTGGGGATCGGGTACTTCTCATCCAAAGTATTGTCATTCAGTTTCCGATAGTCTATTACTACCCTATATCTTTCCTTGTTATCCCCCGGCACTGCTTTCTTTTTCACCGCCCACAGGGGACTATTAAAGAGTGAGGTACTATCGACGATGATCCCTTGCTCCTTTAGGCTGTATAATTCCTCCCGAATATGCTGCCTCAGCGCCTGCGGGTATCTCCTTTCCTTCACGTAGGTTACCCTATCTTGCTTCAGTGGGATTTCATGCACGGTCCTCCCTGTTACCCCCAATACCTCGCCTTCCCTGAAGAAAATATCTCTGAACTCCGTTTGTAGCGACTTCCTCCAGTCCTCTTCCCTGTTCACCGCTCCTATCCGTACCCTTCTTTCTCTCGCGACCCCTACGCATTCAAACTTCCTCTTTCCCAGCCTAATACTCCAGGCTCCCCTATGGTTTCTGATGCTCGCCCCTACCTGCCCTAACAGATCGCACCCTACTATGACCTGGTATTCCCGTGTCATGTTCTCCACCACATGCACCCTTAGCTCACAGTCTTTCCCTGTCCACCGATCAAGCCCAATTATCGCCTCCCCGTCTACGCTACAGGGACCACCCAGAGTGATCAGCTGGCAGTCGCATTTCTGTATCCGGAGTACCCTCTCGCTCCCGCACATTTTCCCTAACGCCCTTCGGGTCATGATAGTGCTCGAGCTACCCGTGTCCACAAGACACTTTACTCCCCCGTCTACTTCAATAATTGGCAACCAGCATGGCTTACCTCTGACACTGTTGCATGTTGCTGTGCGGTCACCTCTCTGCCGACACACTCCTCAGATGTCGTCCCGCTTCCTCCTTCCTGCCGCCGCTCGTCGCTGCTCGCTCCGTTGGCTGCGCCTACCTCCTTCACCTCCGCTGCTGCCTGGTTCATCCGTCTCCGTTCCTGACGTTCCTGACTCCTCGGTTGCCTCCTCCGAAGATTCGTCCCTCTGCTGTACCCTAGCTAGCCTTTTCATCTTCTGTACATTCACCTCCATGGGTTCGTCCTGAGGTCTCTCCCTCCTGCGAAATATGTATGGGCACTGTCTTGCTATGTGCCCTTCGGTCCCGCACTCGAAGCATCTGGTGCGCGGACACTGCGCTACTAAATGTCCCAGCTTCCCACACCCGTGACATTTTCTCTCTTCCCTCCGGGACCCATTCCTCGGCCTCGACGACTGTCCAGATCTTCTTTCCCCCATCGTGGCTGTTTCTCCATTCTGCTGCCTTGTGTCCCTCTTCCTCCAACCTGTCGAGGCTGTCCGTGGTCGTCTATCCGTCACTCGGATCCATCCCGGTTCCTCC